CCAGGCCATATCGTATGACTGACTGCCAGTTGCTGCTCCCGGGCCATGTCGATGGCCCGGGCTGACTGAGAGTTGCCTCTCTGCATCGGATGGCAACGTCAATGCCAAACACTTTATCAAAAGTGCAGAGCGCATAAATCAAATTGTGCCCGCAGCAGCAGCTGCACCAACTGACACTTGCACATGAATTGTTGAACTCTGCCACCACCCAAAAATGCAATCAATGTTCGATGGTTAAGCCATTAAAAATGCCTGGTTAAGCAATTGATTGCTCTGAGTGAAAACGTTCAACTATGAGCTCTGGCCTCTGACAGCTTAAGGGTATGAACAGAACAGAACAATCAGAATGTTTAAAGTGACATAATATTCTCATAGTAGAAGTTGAATAATAATAACATAAGAATAATGATGATGATATTGAAATTATGGTAATAAAAACTGAATGACATGCTTTTAACATATAAGAACTTAACATTTCAGCTCGAATTAACGTTGTTACTGTTGTGACTGTTAAGTAGACAGAGTTAGAGAATGAGTTTGTTGCTGTAATTACATTTATCTGTTTTTGATTAAGAAATAACATTTTGATAACAGGAAAATAATAAGGGAATTAAGCAATTAAGGCTTAAGTCTAAGAAACAAGAACGAGAATAAGTATTTAATGGCTTAACAGCTTGCCCGAACAACTCGTCCTTGAATATGCTATTAACAGGTAAAGCGCCATTTTATTAAGCTGTAATTCAATTAGCTGCGCTTTTGGCAACAGCTCTTTAACAAACTCATGAAGAACTAAAACTCGTTTATCTTCTTTTTGGGGACAACGCAAGTTTTACCCATTTGACAGGAATCTCAGTGTGGCAGGTGGAGCTGGCAGGTTGAACAACTAGAAATGACTTTGCGCTTTTGACAATGGGGCGCCAAAAAAGTTTTTTTTTATTTTGTTGCCTGTCAGTTGCACAAACACACGCATGTACACAACCTGTCAAGGTGTTAAATATTTTTTGGCGAAAAAAAAAATCAGTTTACAGTTTTCCGACTGGCCCGGTAATTTGGCAGCTCTTCAGAGGCTGCGCGCCCCTCAATTAGCCTGAATTGCCTGCACATTTCAGATACAACTTCAATTTTCAAGTATCTGTTGAATATGCAAATACGTGATGCAAAGCTGCGAATTTGCGAATTTGCAAGTCCGCATTTGCACTCGCATTCAAATTCCAAAACTCAATTCAAATTCAAATTCACAATTTTATTTTGCGCAACGCGCCTGATTAGCTTCATTATGCAGCATTTTCGAAAAGCCATTTTAAGCTGCGCCGTGTGCGTGTGTGTGTGTGTGAGTGTGTGTGTGAGGCTGTGTGTGATCACATTTTGAAATTTTAAAGCCATGCCAAACTGCTTAATTAGTATGCATGTCACAGGCGTGCGAAACGAGCGGCACGCCAGCTGTTGCGACGGCTTACAAAAGGCTCAATGCCAATGCCAAACACACACACACACACCCGCAGCAGAGTGTGTTGGCCGAAAATAAGAGTTTTTTAGTGGCCATCCATAAAATGTCTAATTAGCCAGCGAAACTCAAGCAGTGTGTGACACGGTGCGTATGAGTAACGTGTTGTTAAGTTAAGCGGGCTTTTGTTGCTGTTGTTGCCGTTGTTTCAGCTGAACGCTCGATTGAGCCCTGACATTGTCACGTTTGCTATTTTAAAAATGAGGCATGCTGACAGTTTAAGTTGTTGCAACATTATTGGAAAGAGAGCAGCGTGTGGGGCATGCGGCTTGTGTCTGCGTGTGTCCTTGAGGCAGACGCTAAGACTTAGGCTAAGACGTGTAATGTAACAAAAAGCTAAGACAGGACCTTACCTAGAACCGAATATATTAAACAACGCGGGGGCAGCACAAAGTAATGCCAGGCAGCAATATTGTCAATTGGGAACTGTTAAAGCGGCCCTCGCAAGCGGCTTAGATTAATGTTAAGCTGCAGACACAAAAGGATTTTTGATAAATGATGTACCATTTTCTTACAAGCAGCTCAAGTTGTTGTTCTTTAAAGCACATGCACTTAAGCTAATTGCCAGCAGGGCCTAAAGTTCAATTGCAATGATTGCCAGGCTGGGTTGTGTGTGGGTGTGTGTGTGTGTGTCAGTATATGAAGTAGCTGTGCATACACACACATTAAATTGCTATTGGCTCAAAAACTAATTGACATGTCCCATATCCCATAAGCCCAGTCAAGATCAAAAGTAAACACGCAATGCAACGTGCAACGTGTTCGTTAGAGGACCTGCCTGCCTGCCCAGCCGAGTCTGTCAAAATGCCAGGTAAAACAGGTGGCAGGCTGAAATAGCAAGTGCCTGCAGTGGTCAGCTGCTGCACCAGGCTGCTAATCAAAGCATTTCACATAAATGCCATATTAAAGTAATTAAGTGCCATTGCCGCCCCAGTCCCAGTCCCTGTCCAAACGCCTGTTCCTGTGCGTATCACTGCCAGGACACTCATCCGCCAGCTCTCGCTCACATTTTTGGCCTGACTGGCAAAATAGCCTTATTGACTCATTAGCCGAGTTTTGAGTGTCATTAGCAGGGCTTTGCTAGCTGCCGACCAAAAAATTTTAATAAAAACAGCAAACAAATAAATTTGCATGGAAATGTAAGGGACAGCGCCGGGTCCAAGGAAGCCAGGACAATGCCGTCGGCAATGTATGCATAATCTTATCGAATGATTTAATTCTGCTTCTCTGCTGGGGCTGCTTCTGCTGCTGCTGCTGCTGCTGGTTCTCCTGTCAGTGGCAGTCGCAGGCTCTTTGCCATTTAGCTTTGTGATGCTTATCGCGTTATCCTGTGCCCAACCACTATTGTGAACCAAATGAGCTGTTTGTGTGTGGTGTGTGGTGTGCAGTGATGCCAATAATCGCTTTTAAAAAAATATAGCTAATTCTAATGTTAAAAAACGGCTAAATATAGCTAACTAAATTATCAAGGTTTTCATTACCACTTTTGCGTAGTTACCTTTGAATATTTTCTATTTAAGCAATCTATCTTATTTGTGCAAAGCAACCAAAAGAAGTCCTTTACATTGATATGGCACTTAAAAAAAGGTAAAGCGACTAAAAGGTGCACATACTTATAAAAAAAAAACGAACAAGCAAATAGCTAAATCAGTTTATTCATACAATTGCAGGCACCTGCAAGTTTCCGGTTTACGAGTTCTGAAAATAGCCAAAATCAGCTAGAAAACAGCTAAATTGGCAACTCTGATGCCGAGCCTCGACGTAAGCTGCCTCAGCCAATTACTTTCAGCTGCTGGCTGGCTGTCATGGTGATTATCTGTGCGCAACGCATACAGTTTACAGTTTTTACTTGCGTTTTCGGGCCTGCCTGGATGTGTGACATAAACAGTTTTACATGTAACACGCACACACCCTCACACCCACACACACTCACACACACACATGATTCAATTTACCATTTGGTGCTTGAATTATTTGTCAAGTGCGCCTTGAAACAGGCGCAAGTGCTTTTTATTAACAATTATTGCGTTGATTTCGCACTGTTTTTCATTTTGTATGCTACACTTTTCTGAAAAGCCTCTCGACTGTTAACCCCTTGTGTCGAACAGGATTTAGGGCTGACAACTGGCAATGGCTCCTTATTTTTACCTAACTGATTTACACTTCAGTCTCTGCTTGCTGTTTTTGTGCTTCCTCTTGCTGATTGCGCAAATCCCAGGCGACACTTTTGCGCAAATGCTGCAACTGCCACACAAAACGCTGCGAATTTTTCACACCATCCTTGTTGTTGTTGCTGTTGGTCCTGTATTGCACAATGCGAAAGTAGCTTAGTGTTGTTGTATTGAAACTGCTAGCTGGCAGGCGGATCCCGCAAAAAGGCTTAGCATTTAACAGGCAAAGCGGCTGACGATAAAAACCACTTTCAGCCAAGTATTTTGCAAATGGATTTTATGTTAGGTATCTGAGGGACAGAAAGAAGAAAGGAAACTTGAAAGCAATACAAAACTGACAGCCGCTGACTGAAAGTCAACATTCAGCTTAAGGCTGTGTCTTGGCCACTCATTATGCCCGACTAAGAGCCGTCTTTATTGTGTCGAAATTATGGAAAAAGAAAAGGTTAGGCAAACGGCAATCAATATCAACAATTTTAAAGCCACAAATATGCTAAAGGCATGACTGCGGTGTCCCATCCCGTCCCGTCTGTGCTATAAAAAGGCTCAAAAGAAGCTTCTCAAGAGCCAAGTATCAATAAAGGCCTTGTAAGCCGCAGGAAACCAAAACGAAACGGTGAAAGGTCCATGCAAAAAAATTAAATACAAAGGCCAAAAGTGAAAACAGCCAGCAGCTCGACTAAGACTTACCCTGTGCAGCGCATAGCCATTTAATCACATAACATCTTTACTTTAGTGTCCATATGTCCGCGACCTTTTTGCATAGAAAGAATGCCAAGGCGACAACTGACCCTCCCCGAAGTACAGGGGGTTCGTTTACTGCGCATATAACTAAAAATTTGCTGTGTGCGCTCGTAAAACTGGCAAAAACACGCCGAACCCTAAAAAGTGAAGGCCAATCGTTGTAGTGCAGGGGCAGGGGGTACGAAATTTAAATTCAAATTCAAACGCAACGCGTCAGTCGTAAACTTAAAGCTATTCATTTCAATTTTTAAGCGCTCACTCAAGAACCGCGTCTGGGATGCAGGATGCGGCGGCAAAGGACATTTTGTTTTGTTTTTTTTTTTTGGGTTGCAAATCAATTACAGCCACAACTCCAGAAGAGACACAAACTTTATCCCACTCGCTGCCTCTATTTGAGTCTCTGCTGCCTGGAAGCAAGTTTTGATTAGCTTCCGCCCACGCAGCTCGGCGGACATTTGACGTCGACTGCGGCTCCGTGCCGCATCCGGGGCTGGATGTAATGCATGGGCTCGGGGGCCGTGTGGTTGGGCCTGCGCCGCTTGTTTGTCGCTTCGAGCAGGTAATAAAATAACAAAATGCTGTTTGCTGAATATATTTTTTTATTTTTTTTTCGTCTGCCTTAAATTTTTGTCAACTTTGCAGACTTTTCGCTGTCATGGCAGCCGTTTAATAAACACAAAAAACAACAACAAAATGGACAAGGAGCAGTCGACTCAACTGACGGCATCGGCAAAGCCAATGCGATGATTGCCCATGTCAAACTCAGTATAGTACTTGCCCAGAAACACATCGCCCAGTATCCAAAGCGGGCCACTAGGCGAGGGCAGATCCACGGCTATAAATGCCGAGGCGCACACGGTGCGATCCGAAAAGATGTCATGGAATACATAATCCTCTCCTTTCAACTCGAAGCGACGACCGCCCAGTGTAAAACTTAAGGTGGGCAGATGCGGCACCTGCTCGCAGGGCACAGAGAACTGGCCATAGGCAGCGGGCGTCCCGCCAATCGACTCGTTAATAAGAATGGCCTGCTCGTAGGGCACGGCCAGAAAGGAGGTGCCCGTATCGATGATGACCTGACATCCGTTCAGGCACAGCTGAAGTGGGCCAATGCGCGCCGCCTCCAGCTTAACCTGCCAATAGGCTCGATGCGTGACCGGCACATAGGTAAAGTTGCCGCGATAGTAGCGCGGACTGGAGCCGCCAAAGAAGAGGTATCCACCCTGGCGACTGCTGGCTACGCGGTTCAGATACACCGAGAAGACGGGACGCTTCAACAGGTTCTGCTCCATGACAGCATAAAACGGCGGCTTGATGTTCTGTATGGAGATGCCGCGATAGGCCAGGCCAAAGATGCCATCGAACTTGGCCGCCAGAAAGATGGGACCCGGCATATCCGTAGCCTCCGCGAACGTTTGATTGGCTATCTCCAGTCCCGCCACGCGCACCGTGTCCTGCGAGAGGTAGCCAGCCAGACTGCCGGACCCATACTGTATATCAAACTGTTTGCCATCCGACTTGTAGCTGCGCGAGCGTCTGGAGTTGTAGCGACTGTGTATCTGGCAGGCGAGCTTCTGGTGGCACGACTCCGATGGCACCCACAGATTCGCTGAGCCCGTGTCAAAGATGACGTTAAATTTCTGCGGGGGCGTGCCAATGCTGATGGGGCCAAAGTACTGCGCATCCAGGTAGTTGCTTAGCGGCACGTTCCGCACCTCAAACCCGCGCGCCCTGCCGCTATACTTGAGACGCAGCCGATCCATGCGTATGCCAAACTGTTGAAAGCGATGCCGCACCGAGGGGAACCGATGCAGTGGCACGCGATACAGTTGTGAGCGGCGACTCGCAGCCAGCAGCAGTGGCACCAGCAGCAGCAGCAGCAACAACAGCGACAGAAACTTCATAATGTAAGCGGCAGCAGCAGCTTGTATTTATTAATACACATAATATACTTGAGCTTGGCAAGAAAATCAGCTTCGTTTTGGAAGCTGATACGCTTGACTGTTGCCTTGTTATACAATAAATTGAAGTCAAATGTTGCTGTCGGCAGCTCAAATTTCCATGCATACAAATTTCACTTGAAAACGTAATTGGAAATGCGAGAGCTGCGTGCGAGGCATACGGTAAAAGGCACAAATTAAATTCAAGCTGTACACTCGAGCTCGTATTGATGGAAAACACGTTTTCACATGAGCATATTTCTAACAATAGCACAGCGTGAAAAGCGGAATATCAAAGAAAGCGTCTGCTCTCAAACTCCTCGACAGGCATTTCAAGTGTTGTTGCTGTCGCTTTGCTATGCTCAATTACAGCAAAGGTGACCCAGTCGTGATCTAGTTGTAATCAATCAAGCAAATGGATGCCAGCATTGCGCATACGCCCTGCTGTCTAAGCACAGCCGAAGTTCATTTTTGTGTAGCATACTTTTGAGGGCAGCGCCCAAATTGTGACAGATTACGAGTGGAAATCAAGACTTGATTTCGAGGTATGTGCTGTGAGCGGTAAATAAATGACTGAACTGGCCAACTCCGACACTTTCGGGCCATTAGCCACAAAGCATGCCAATCCAGTCAAGAGCGACAAGGCTGTAAATCACGCATTCGTCTACGAAGAGCGCTGACAAATGTGTTGCAATTAAAAAGGACACTGCGGCTAATTGCGACAACAACTACAACAACAATCGAGAAAGGGAGACCACCCGCTGCTGCTGCTGTCAATGGCAGCACTTACCACACCTGCCACACAGCTAATGGCCAAAAGCCAGACAGCAACAATACCTTCTGCTGCTATTGTTAACCGTTCTGCTGAGGGCTTGCCAATATTTAAGGGCAGGCACAATTAAATATGTACATCGCTTGATATTGACACAGCGAGCTGTTTGCTTTGGCCCGGCCAACAAGCCTTTGATGTGCCCCAGCCTGCAATTTAATTGACAGCGCCCAGTGGCCAAAAATAATGTGACGCAAATAACATTAAATAGTAATTGAAATTGCATTACTGCCATTAGCAGTTGGCCAGGCGTCAAGTCGACGCAGTTCTCATTGAATTAGGCCGCCAAAGTTTTGCCTGGCTGCCAAAGTTGTCTCTTCAGTTTAGGCTAAAAGTTTTCAACGAGTGTCAAACTCGAACCGACAACAAATTGTGTTACTGTGTGTGTGTGTGTTGGTGTGTGTCAACACTTGTTGCTTACTTGGCCGTATGCAAGCTGTATAAAAAAAAAGGTAAAAGGCTCAGGTGAAACGAATTTGAAACCGGAAATTGCGAGGCAGCATTTGTATCTTTTGATGCTTTCAAATTAAGTTTGCTCAAGCAACCGAAAAGTTTCACTTTTTTTGTTGTTTCTGCTTTGCTGCGCAAATGCTGTTTATAATGTGCCACATGCCGCAAGGAGAGATGCTGCAACGTGCCAGCTTGAAAGCTTATTGTGCCGTGCACTTGACCTTTTCCCAAGGCGTGTGGCATATCTAACTGCAAGGGCTATGCCACACACTTGCAGTGAAAACTTGCAACAACAATGAGCACAAGAAGTGGCAACAAAGTGCCGAAACAAAAGTGCTCTTATTTGAGTTTTAGTTTTGAGGCTGAGCTTTGAGCTAAGTCCCAAAAACCAATTAAATGACCAAAAGCAAAAAATAAAAAATAAACAAAACTTTACAAACGAAGTCACGCTGTGCCACTCCCAAAATCGCCCCACTCTTGTTTGTGCGTGTATTTATGTATTATTTAAACTTGGTCCTTGTGTGTTGTGTGGCCGCAAAAAGGTTTGCCCAACCCACCTCAGAAAACTTGGCCAACTTTTCAATGTACAACAAAAGTTCGAACTGCCGCCGGTTAAATATCAGATAGCATCGGGCCAAAGAACATGCCTAAAATAATATTTTAGCCGCAAAGTTTGTAGATACACGTCGAATGACTTGTTGCCCCATGAAATATCTAAAACAAGCCGCATTATTAATGGCCCAATTAGTGATTCAAGCAGGTTGCAACAGTTTTCCACTCGCTTGATTCTCTGCCTCTAACAGGAAACTTTAACGACGCGCAGAAAAGTATGCTACAAATTCAGCTGCCAGGCATTTCCCCAGCGAATTGCCTGATATTATTCTTATATTCCGGTATGCAAACAAATTCTGTGCCAGCTGCTGCAAATGTCACTGCAGCTGCTGCGAAATATGAATATATTGCCAATGCAGCGAGTCCTTAAGGAAAAGTTGCTGAAATACGGCACCAAGCTGCATTATAGTGTCAATTTCTGATGTTTTAATGGCCCACAATACAACACTCTAGCGATTGCTGCAGATGCTTTTACTCTCGACTTGGCTCCTTGAGTTTGCGAAAGCAGCTAAGTTTAACTAAGCAGCCTGTTGTTGACAACCCGTTAGCAACACTTGATAGCTTATTTGATTATGAGTTACTTAAGTCCTCAGCCACTTGCAATTATGCGAAATTTCAGCACATAACTGCATTAAAATTTAATTGCATAATCACGCGCCATTTATGAGCTAATCAACGCGTGCAGCTCTCTGAATACCCACAAATCAGCTTTATAGTTTAAACCAGTTTTAATGTGAATTCTTGCCGTTGCAGTTGTCGATGTTGCTGCTGCGGTTGTTGCTGCTGTTGTTGTTGCTCTTGTTGTTGATGTTGTTGCTATGATTGCTTTATGTGCACTTCTTGCTGCTGTTGCTGTTGCTCTTGTTGCTGCTGATGTTGCTGCTGTTATGGATTTTATTGCCGCTGCCGTTGTTATTTCTCAATATGTTGATGTTGCTGCTGCTGCTGGCTTATGTCTGTATTTTGTATTTTGGCTGCTCTTGTATTTGATAATGTTGTTGATGCTGTCTTAGCTGATGTTGCTGCTGCTCTTGGTATGGCAGTTAGTGATGCTGCAACACTGCTGTTGCCGTTGTTGTATATATTTCTGTTGTTGCTGCTGTTAAAATTGTTGCTGCTGCTGCTGTTGTTGCTCTTGCTGATGCTTTTGTTGCCGTTATGGGGTTTGCTTTTGCTGCTGCTGTTATAGCAGTTGGTCTATGTACTTATGTTGTTACTTCTATTTAATATTTGTACTGTCGCTGCTGCTGTGTTGGATAATGCTGCTGTTTTTATTGCTGCTCTTGATATAATAGTTAATGATGTTGCAGCTTTTGCAGCTCTGATACTGTTGTTTCGATTGCTGTTGCAGTTCATGTTACGGATGCCGACTGTCATTGCTGCCTGCTGCCGTCGGTATTGTTGTTCTTGATGTTGCTGCTGTGGATGTTGCCATTGTATTTAATTGTAGTTGATGCTGCTTCTGACGTATTTGTCGCTACCGCTGTGGGTACTTTCGTTTTTCTAGATGTTATTTTTCTTATATGTAATGTCTATGCTATTGCAGTTGTTGTAGTTACAGCTAATGCTTGCATAGTTGTTGCTTAAGTTGCTGCTGCTGCTTTAGTAGCTGCTGTTGCTGGTGCTGCTTTGAATACTGTCGTTATTCTTACTGCTGCCTGGCGCATTCAATCAATTACGTAAGCGATTGATCCGATGTCAAATGTTTTGCTACTTTATATTGATTGATTTTTCCTTTTGCCGCTTGAGCGACAAAATGTTGCTGAATTCTAAGGAGCCGCCGCAATTGTGCTCAAAATGTGGCACAAACAAAATGCTTCGCAGGCAGCTCGAGTGTAGACAAGTCATGAGTCGGCAACTTGAATTCTTGGAGAGTATTAATAGAAGAGCTATCAGAGTATTTAGTATGCATGACGGACAGCAACTCGAAAAGGAAAGCAGCAAACGCAAAGGGAAAATCCGTTAACACTTTTGCATACCCTGTAAACGTGAAACTGTTGACTAAGGGGGATTCCGAAATGAGAAGTTCTATAAGATACAATTCTATGTACTAATCAAATATTTATATCGATTCCAGAACGCCAAGAGATAGCATACTAGTTTGCATAAACGTTTATCAGACTGTGTAAATAGGGTATTACTTGAGTTCATTCTGACATCTCTGTGCCGGTCAGGTCTGTCCAATAAAACGTGAGACGCCCCTTGAGGCATATTGGCAATGGATATTGCAACATGGCAGCTCGTGCAACTTACGACACAGGCGACCAGGCTGCGTCTTACAATTTGCATATATACTCTTATAGGTACACAGCCGAGGGGCGTGCCGGAGAAGTGCGCCGTATTTCATTGGCTGCACGGCGGAAATTGTTTTTTAAACGTTAACGGACAGTGCTTCAAGTTGTCAGCAGCAGCCCGAAGCCGTCGACTAAAACTGAACAGAAACTTTCTTCACTAATCTCTGGACAGCAATGACATGCTTTTGGCCAGAGAGCAAGTATTTAATTAGCTATAACACAAGCAGCGCCTTAGGGAATGTCGGAAGGCCTGCCCGCCTGGCAGACAGTTAGCCAGTCAGGCAGGCGACTGCCACATCCGGAACTGGTGGCCCAGGCACATTTTCGTGGCAGTGAAGCGTGAAACCACGTCGAAAGAAATTCATTTTGTGGCCGGTAGATTAAAGAGAATTCCCCAAATGAGTTGCCAACTATGCGCCAAGTTATGCCCAGAGTTCACGCTTTAATGCCAGATACTCATCCATAAATAAGCGAGTTCAAGCATAATTAAAATGGATTTGCCGAGACGTGCCATAAATCACTGCACTCGCCGGGAAAGACAGAGACAAAGCGAGCAAGAGAAATGCCTACATTTGAGCTCTATTAATAAAGCTGCTGAAATGACTGCAATAAAAAAGAATCCAAGAAATTAAAACTGATAAGATGCCTTCCTATTCATTAAAAAGTGTAAATTTGTGGCGAATCGAGTTCGCTGAAACACTCTTTGAAACCGTATAGTTTGGCTTTACAACGCTACTGAGAAACTTTAATTGCTCAAATTTAATTACTCGGCTCGTTAAATTAAGCACAAGGGTTTTCGTTTCAGTAGAGTACATTAAGAGAAATACCCTGATTTC